CTTTGTATTTTCTTAATGTTATGGGATTCTAAGGGTGGGTGGGTGTTATATCAAAACCGTGAATACCGTTATACTGTAACACTGCTCGATCCGGAGCTGCTGAACCCTAAACCCTAAACCTAAACCCTGAACCTTAAACCCTAAAAGGAAACCCTAAACCCTAAACCCTAAAAGGATACTATAAACCGTGTGCGTGTGATCGACCTCCACGAGGTGCACACGGGCCCGGATGTGTCCGGGTACGAACAGGTCACAGGCCGTGCTTTCTCAACGTGCTGCCGTGTATCCTCTTTTCATTGCAAGACGGGCGGCACCAGAAATTCGGATTACCTTTACGGGGGGGGCTCAATGGCTCCTCTTTTCAGCCTTCGTTTGGTGTGGGCTGTGGGAGCCTACATCGCTTCGATCTTTTATGCTTTGGCCCTAGTGAGGGAGGGCCTTGCTGTGGTCCCCTATGGGCATATCAGGGGGCCACTGGTGACTGTCGAGCTGTGGGAGCTTCGCGGTCCTTTTTTCGCAGGAGATTGTGGAGAAGACGGCGGAAACGCAGGAAGCGTTCGCTTCCACCTCCTTTTCTACATGAGCCACCGATGGTGGCGGTGAGTCATCGTACAGCTGCTTGGGCCGCTCGCTGGGCGGGCCAACGGAGACTCTGTTCCAGGAGACGACGTCCTCTTATGTTTCGGGGGCGCGTCCAGCTTTGTGCTTTGAAAGGCCGTGGTCGAGTTCGATGGATTGCGGTGTGGCCTCGTCTTGCTTGCGGACTTCGAGTTGCTTTGGGTGAACGAGGGCTTGGAAGGTCTAGTGCTTCTCCTCCCCTCAATGTGGGATCTGTGGGGCATTGCGCCTCGTCATGTGTAGTTCGAGTTGAGAGTAGTGACGCCGATGCCGTCATGAACAATTTTGTGGCTGATGCTGGGGGTGGTGGCTGCGCTGCTGAAGCTCCCTTGGTTCAGGAATTCGGTGGCGGAAGTGCGGCCGGAGGCGCTTTGGCTCAGGACTTCCGTGGTGAATGTGCGGCCGGAGGCGCTTTGGCTCATGGCTGCAGTAGTGGTGCCGATGTCATCATGAACGTTTTTGTTGCTGATGCTGGGGCTGGAGAACGGGCTGTTGGTGGCCCTTTGGAACAGGACTTTGGTGATGGATGTGCGGCCGGAGGCGTTTTGGCTCAGGACCTCAGTGGTGGTTTGGCTCCTGCTGCTGGCGATCCCTTTCGTGGTGGTGCTGGTGGGGCGGCGGCCACAAAGAGGAAGAGGGCTGAGAAGCTCCTCGCTTCTCTTTCGCAAATGCTGAGTGGTTGGGCCGAGGCTGGCGACGATGAGGCGGAGGACGACGGCTACGAGCAGCTGTTTCAGGACCTGGAGTGCATCATTAAGAACCGGCCCAAGGATCCTGTTCGTGCTCTGCGGCAGCTGCTTGAGACTTGGCAATCTGTTGATGACTCTTGGTATCGCCCCACGGCTCCTCGGTGGGCAGCTAGGCGGCGACAGCGAGATGAGTGGGCTGACTGGTCAGCCCCAGCTTCGTGGGAGGATTGGCCGGCCGCCGAGCCTGCTGATCTTGGCCCACCTTGGCGGGCTGATGATGCTGATGCTGGTTGGGCGGCGGCTCCCCGCCAGAAGGCCCAGGAGACGACAGGTGATGACGGCGAGGCTTGGCGTACGGTGACTCGGCGTAAGCCAAAGTCCAAGAAGGACGGCAAAAGCGGCGCTTCGGACCCCGTCACGGTTAGGACGTGGTGGCCTCGCTCGAGTGATTGGACAGGTGGCCCGTGCATTGTCGGTACCTTCTCTGAGCTCATGGCTACCGAGGCGGTGCAGGACTGCGTTTTTGTGCAGTGCCGCACTTTGATTGCTGCTACCCCGGCGGACTCCCCGCCCGATGTCACGATTGTTGTGCTCAAGGGCTCCTTCGAGGCTTCCCGCCGCGACTTCCGGGAGGTTGAGTGGACTGAGATGAGAGTCCCAGGGCTTTGGCACGGCCAGGCGGCCCGGTCCGGGCGGCTTCTGCTTGGGTGGCTTCTTGCAGCGAGGTCTCAGCCAAGCCGAAAACCTCAGCCTTGTAGGGCGACTGGTCCTCGCCACACACACCACCAGCAAAGTCACCACCATGCTCGAGGATGACAGCGAAGGAAGCGACGTCAGCAAACGAAGAGCCGTCCGTGGCCACGAAGATTTCCGCGACCTCGGCCCTCCAAGCAGCCTGAAGCGCCTCAGCGATCTCCTCCTCCAGATCGGCAAGGTCGACGGTCGGCGGCGGAGCAGGCCTCTCAGGGACCTCACGAGCCAGCAGCCTCTCAGCAAGACGCCCGTCAGCCGGGCCACCAGCAGTCCGAATTTGCGGAAGGGCCTGCTCGGCTCCGGCCGTCGGCACGTGCACGGCGGCAAAGCGTCCAACTGTCTCCGAGCGGCCTTGTCCCATGCGCTGCAGCCGTAGCCAAGGCAAAGCTGACGCAAGTAGGAGTCGCCCTGGTCATAGAGTCCGCGATGGCCAGCGAATGTGCAAAGCACACCCGGCGCAACAGCCGGAAATTGGACCCCAGAGGCCCACCCCACCTCGGGTCGATGGTAGCCACGCCGAAGTCGACCACAGGTCTGCGCAGCTGCACGGCGATGCCAATCAGCCAACCATTCATGCAGAACGCAAAGCCCATCACTGCCGAACTGGAAGAAGCGCAGGCAGCCTAAGCGGTCACGCCGAACCAGGGAACAGGAGTCCGGGCCCAGCCACCAGCCCAGTTCCTGCAGCACCATATTGACAGCGCCAAAGACCTGAGCCACAGGAGCCAGCGCCGCAGCCAGGGCAGCCGTCTCCTGCCACGCACGAGAAGAAGTGCTCAGCCTCACCATGCAGCTCTAGCAAGACACTCCAACGGCGCATGAACACAGGGTCGCAGTCGTAGCCAACCACTTCCAAGCACAGTGGCCGCGCCTTGTCGCGAGCCGTTTTGCAGCCCACCTGAAAAAGGAAGTCGTTCCGCAGAGACTGGGCCTCCTCAAGCGAAATGCAGCCAAAGGCCCCGGCCCACGTGAAGACAGGGGAGTCACCAGCCGACGTAGAAGGCTCCGCCGGGCTCGGAAGCAGGCAGCAACCACCGTCACCAGCCGAAGTCGTCGACAAACTCGAGCCATCGAGAAGCCCGTGAGCGAAGCCAGCCCCCCTCGATCCAAGTCCAGGGAGAGGCCGAGCACCTCGAAGAGAGCACCACAATCGTAACCGAAGAAGCGAGCGACCTCCTGAGCCCAACCTCTCGCGGTGGGAGCACCAACACGGCACTTGTCCTTGTCGCACTGGAACCCGAAAGCAACGTCAAACTGGTCCGAGGACCGCGAAGCAGCTCGAAAATCAGCCCCAGGCCTCACCATCAGGAAGCGGTCGTCCACGAAGGAAGCCGTCGCAACACCAGGGGTGGTCTCCACCAGCGCAGACCAAGCCGTCAGCAGGGACGCCGCCAGCAACGGAGAAAGCGGGCAGCCCTGAAACAGCCCACGAGTTACGCGGCTCCAGGAGGAGCCCAAGAGCCCTCCCGCAGAAAAGAGCTTGTAATGCTCCTGGTACACAGCCTGAACAAGCCCTCGAAGTTGAGCGGGAGCGCCAAGGCGAGCCAGAACCACATCCACATCACGAACATCGATCGAATCGAAGTACTTAGCCAAGTCTTGGCCCACCAGGGTGTCGCCCCGGCTGCAGGCAGTGATCAACTGCTGAACGACGTCCTTGGTGGACCGCCCAGGCACTCCACCGCAGGTCTGGTGCCCGAGCCAGCCCTCAGCCCACGGAGCCAGACGGGAAACGATGGCCTTCATGCCCAGACGATGAGCCACACTGAGGAGGGTGAGAGGGCGAGCTCCTCCTTTCGGCTTCGCAACCCTCGAGCATCTCCAGATGCCCGGCAAGCGATGCTTGTTAGCGACAACAGTCCACAAAGCAGCCAGGGCCTCCCAAAAGGATGAAGGCAGCTGCAGCTAATGCTCAATGATCCAATCATCGGGGCCGCCAGCACGACCCTGCATGGAAGAAGCCACTCCTCGGAGCTCAGAACCCGTGAAAGTGAAGTCAACAGTCGCCTCAGACCGAGCGGGCAGCGCACGGAGAGCCTCCTCCACGAGCCGCGGATCACAATGAGCCCGCCGGGTCCATGTCGGGAGCCACTCCTCCTCGGCCCGAGAGATGATGCAAACGGGGTGCACCGCCACCTTAGACTGGAGAGGGTCAACCGGATCACGATCCATCTCGACCTGCTCCTCGACGAGGGCCCTGCGCGTGACCCAAGTGCACTGGGCCTTGAAGTCGTGGTCAACGCGGCGCTGCCACGCAGCAACAGCAGCATCCTTAGCTTCGCGCTCGAGTGCAGCAACGAGGTCCCCCACCAAGCGCAGCGCACCAACTTCGGCACCACCAACATAGTCGAGGAGGTCAGGGAAGGTGGAGCCCAGCACCTCAAGGTCGTGAACCACACGGGCCCGCATCGCAGCATCCAGCGGGACATGCCTCAAGTGAGCCACACGTCTGTGCAACCGACGCATGCGCGTCAAGAGGAGCGACTCGGCGCCCAAAGCAGCCTGACGCACAGCCCTTGCAGAGTGAGGTTGCCAATGACAATGACGAGCGACCCGACGCCCGCAGCACTCCTCGCCAGATGCCAAAGCGGTCTCGGCAGCCGCAGACAGCAAAGCCCAGGCCTGGTCGATGTCGCTGTCCAAAGCGGCTTCAAAGTCCCCAGCCACCGGCTGCCAAACACGCCTCCAGGTCTCCTCGTCGACAGGAGTCGTCACCAGCTTGCCGAGTGCCCCGTGGGCATTGTCAAAGGGATGTCATAGGCGGCGCACAGGTGATTCCCCAAGCCCTCGAACGTATATCAAGACGCACAGCAGCAAGGCTTCGAGACGCCAGCCCAAAGTCAATCCTCCGAGAGCGGTTCGGCAAAGTGCTCGGGAGAGCACCCTGATGAACAAAGCACTCATCAAGAGGCCTAACATCGCTCCTGGCAGCGAGGGTCGCCGCCGCTGGATCCTCGTCCAAAGCCACGTTGAAGTCGCCAAGCAGCAGCCACTCACAGCTCAGCGAACAGAGATGCGAAAGGACCTCAACATGGTGCCGCGTAGCCCGCTGCCTGCAGGAAGCATGACCATTAATAAGTGTTGGCCACCACCACCTTGCGCACAGCATCTTGCAACCTCACCTCAATGACAGCAACCGCGACCCGAGCGGGATCAGTGATGCCCTGGGGGACCAAGCAGCGCACAGGCGTGCGCGAGACATATGACGCATCGACGAAAGGCCCGGAGAAGAGCCCTCATCGGCCACCTCCGGCCCACCAACCACATGAAGGCCCTGAGCACGAAAGGAAGAGATGACCCTGGGCCAGGAAGCAACATTGACATCAGCCTCCTGTGTGCACAGCAAATCGATCGCACGGCGCTGCATGACCGAGATAACAGCAGGAACTTTGCTGGACAGGCTCTTCTCAATATTCATGGTGCACACACGCATGCAGCGGCCAGAAGATGCGGGGGCCCCCGTCATGACGTCACAGAGGCACTGCTGCGGCAACTGGGGTCGCTGCGAAGAAGAGCAGCATCAGCGGCGGCCAGGCGTTGGGACACGATCTCCTCAGGAATGCCGTGGGATGTCCTCTTCAGCAGCCGCACAGCTCGGTAATACCGCTTGCGTCGGGCCTTATGAGTGCCCTTCCGCGGCTGATACTTGCAACACCTATGAGATCGAAGTGCCGGGCTGGCCGCATCGGTAGTTAAGTGGTGGCAAAGCTGACAGCTCCAAGCCCACTTCCACGCAATCCGGCGCGACCGATGGCGATCCATTGGCGCGACGGGCCAAAAAAGGGACGTGAAGCCCTCAAACTCCCCCTGAGAAGAGCCCAGAAGCCTCTTCGAACCTCCTGAGCACTCAGCCTGCGAAAACTCGAAGTGGTCGCCTTGATGCTCCCGGGCAAGCCAACGCCACCATGCCACCTGGTCAGGTGTGCCCGCCGCGCTGAACTCACCACAGTCCGGGAGGCGTGGGTGTAGCTGTAATCACAGAACTTGCACACGAATCTGGGCGGTCCATCGCAAACAGCCAAAGGGTTGTCACGAAAGCGCCATTGGCGCAACGCCAGCAAGCAGGCGTGATCCACTAGCTGAAGCACAAGTCTCCCTGGACGTGGCTCCCGCAGGCCGTGCCAGGTCCCGGTCCTCAGCAGAGTGTCCCTTCAACGAAGCAGCCACATCCGGACGCACCGCGCGGCTGCCCGACGATGACAAAGCAGGCCCAGCCAGCCCACCTCGGTCCGAAGCAGCGGCAGAAGCGGCGCCAGAGCGACGCGCAGTGCGCCCCCCCAGTGTCGAGGGAGCCTTGTCCGAAGCAACGCCACAAGTGCGGCCGCCAAGCACCGAAGCCGCCGAGGCGGCGGTGCGGCCACCCAAAATGGAGGCAGTCTCAGGATCAGCTCGCTGAAAGCCGCCGCCACGATCAGCAGGATCGCGAGCGCGGGCTCGGCATTGCCGATGGTCGAACGAGTGAGCTTAAGCCGACCAGTGCCTCGTAGTGCCGCTTGTGAAAGAAGAGGGCCAGCGGATGTCCCCGCCCCTTGGCATTGAAGACCGTGATGTTGTCCGCCTCGCCACGGAACACATAGATGGCCTGATCGAGTGTGGCCGGAAGAAGCTGCCACCCATGCGCCCTCCTGAGCAACCGCAGCGACGTAGCCAGCGAAGTCGGTACCCAAGGGCTCGCCACCTGCCGTGGTGGCGTCCCTTTCCAGGCAAGCAGGCCGCTTGGACTGTTGTGGCTACTGCCGACCGGTCGTGCGACTATGCCATTGTCGACATCAACTGTGGCCCCGTTGAGGCTACCAGGCTTGGCGGCGATCGTTTTGCAGCGCGCTCCAGGGCTTTGCCGACGGAGTGGCGCCAGCACTTCAAGGCGAGCGGCGGCCGAGCTACAACCACCAGGAAACCTGGTTCGGCGCCTACGACTGCTTCCGACGAGGCGCTTGAGGACATGGCGGTGGATGGTGGCGGCGACGATGAGCGCCGCAATGGCAAAAGCAAGGGGGCTGCACCCGCTACGGAGGCTGATGCCAAGCGCACTCGCTTGGAGGGCCGGCCAAAGGCGGCGCAGTGAGAGTGGAGCCTATAACCCTGGCGGCGGCAACTGCCTGTTTCATGCTGTTCGGGACGCCCTGGTCGCACAAGGCAGATGAAAACGCGAGACTGGTGAGATCCGCCTGCTGGCGTGCACCCACCTACGCACCCATGCCGACCATTATGCTGGGTTCAGGCTAATCCTGGCCGAGCCTTTCGTGAGGCCTTTGGATCCCTCAAGGACACGTGGAGCTGGGCCGTGGTCCGTGGACCAGGAGGCAAGAGGCTTTTGCGCATCGAGAAGGCCAAGGCGGCCAAGGCGCTGGCCGCTTCGGGCTCGAAAGTCGATGGCACCCGGTTTTTCATCTGAATGTTTCCGGTGCACAGCATTTGGGGACTCCCGAGTTGGCGGTGGATTGGGTGGAATGGCATGAGCAGGAGACCTGGCAGGCGTATGCGAATCGTTGTTGCCGCTTGCTTCAGCCGGTTTCCTTTGGGCTTGCGCGTGGTGCCAAGCAGCTCGGCATTCGGCGGGCTGCCACGCAGGAGGATAAGGATCGCCCTCAGACGGTCCGTCGCCGCTGGCGGGTGACGGGGGTGCCTCGTGACTGGCGTTGCGAGGACCTCATCCAGTTCATGGCTGATTGGGGCTTTGAGTCGGTGCAGGCGTCTTCGGAGGACTGGCACACTGTGGGTCATCGTCGACTGCAAGGCCCTGCTCGACGCTGTTGCTGGTCGTGGGGCCCTGCGCGCCTTGGTGACCGAGATCGCACGTGGCTGCGAGATGCTGCGCGCACGAGGCCTCTGGGTGAGACTGGAATGGGTGCCAAGCCATGGTAAACCGCTCCCTGCTTCGTGGGTTGCCGCCTCCGGTGCTTCGGCACCCCGACTTCGGCAGTTGAACGCTCGTGCTGATGCTGCTGCTCAGCGTCACTGTGGACGGCGGTGCCAGGGCTCGGCCCGGCATCGCTGCTTCCTCGCTCGTGCCGATGCTCTCCGTTGGGAGGTCGAAGTGCTGCAAGTTGCCTCGGTGGTTGCGGCACTGTGGGATGCCGGGTGATTTCTTCGCCTGGGCGGTTCGCAGGACATCCCTCGGGGTGGCATCCTGAGGATCGCAGAAACACAAATTAAGAAACTATAAACCCTAAACCCTAAACCCTGAACCCTAAACCCTAAACCCTAAAAGGAAACCCTAAACCCTGAACCCTAAAAGGAAACCCTAAACCCTCAACCCTAAACCATGAAAGGCTAAACCCTAAACCCTAAACCCTAAACCCCAAAAGGAAACCCCAAACCCTAAAAGGAAA